AAAAATGAAACACTTGGCACATTTCATTAGTGTAGAAGTGATAAAATGATCTCACCAGTAGCAGCTGTAAACACAGAGAACAGAGTAAATGTGTATTTAGATCCTGCAGTCAGAGATGAGACTGTCTGAGTTACTGGTCCATCTCCATCTGGTGCACTGATGTTGTTCTCTGTTCCATTAAACTGGAGAACAAAACTGACACTGTAGTTTATTTTATTCCACTGCAGAGTGATGCTGGTCTCATTTTGGGCTGATGGTTTCAAGCCATTTGGATTTTGTGGTGCTGGGAAAGTAAATCAAAGCCATGAATAACTTTATAAACTTGAAATTTAAAGTAGTTTGAACACTATTTCCTCTTTATCTCTTACCAATTTTTAATCTCTTGAGCTGAGCACATGAACGTCTTATTTCTAGTTTTGCCTGCAATCAGTGTGAATGGGGACCACATACAGACTGTCAGGTTAAACACGGGACTGAATCGAGTGAACGGTAGTTGAGCTGTAGCATGTAGTAGAAGCGCTGGGAGAAATAAACAAGCAGATTTGATTTAGGAAGGCCTGGACGTATCCCGAACGGAAACAGGATCATATAGACATTCCAGAAAACTGATTTACTGGTCAGGTGAGTGTTGGAAGGATCCATGTCTCGGAACTCAAGGCGTAGATCGATGACTGAGTAGACGGTTGGAATTGGTGTCCTGTTATATTAGTATAATGACATGGAGGTCTTAAGGTTGGAGGAATTCTGGGAAGTGGAGTCCTGAGTGTCAAGTCTTGGTGTGGAAGGGCGATGAGATGTGGAAACCGTGACAGGACCCCTCAGGTCCTGTGTAAGAGGGTTGGTTGGACTGACACAAAACAGCAGAGATAGTGACCCCGCTGTTTATTTGCTCTTTCTTCACCTACAACACCAGTAGCTCTCACCTCCAGAAGGCCACTGTCGGCTCTATGTCTGAGGGGTATGACCAGGAGTACAGGTCAATCTTATGGCCAATGTGGACTGGTGTGAGGGTAACCGCCTTCGTTTGAACACCAGTAAAAAAAAGAAAGGATGATTGACTTCCAGAGAAACACTCAGCAGTAAACATCCAGGGGGCATACAGTGAGGTGGTGGATATGTACCTGGGTGTTCACCTCAACAGCAAACTGAACTGGTCCAACAATACAGATGCTCTGTATAATAAGGGCCAAAGCCACCTCCACCTCCAGAGGAGACTGAGGTCCTTCTGAGTTAATTTGCGTTTGCTAAAATTCTTTTATCACTCTGTTGTTGGCTCTGTCATTCACTCTGCTGTGGTCTGTTGGGGTGCAGGCAGCTCTGACCAAGACAAGAAGAGACTGAACAAGATAGTTGACAAAGCTAGCTCGGTTCTGGGCTGCCCACTGGATTCAGTTGAGGAGACGTGTGAAAGCAGGATGTTGAGGAAGATGTCCTCCATCTAAAATCCCCTCCCACTCACTGCATTCTACTGTGGAGACCATGGACAGCTCCTTCAGAGGTAGACACACATGCCAGATGTAAAACAGAACCCTTCCGTAGATCTTTCATCCCCTCTGCAGTAAGAGTGTATTACTCCTCAGTTTAACTGGTACTGGCATTATCCTGGTACACAATAACATCAATGCAATACTCAGTAAGTGTTCAGTACTTGTGCAATTCTAGTATGTCTATGTCTCTCGCAGTATGCAGCATAATTCTGGAACCCAAGTTTAATTTTTATTCGTGGTTTAGTGGTTGAAGGTGTTATTATTTTTCTTCTAATTATTCTCTTAAGTGTTGGTGCTGCTGTAACAAGCGAATTTCTCCACTTGGAATCAATAAAGTCTTTAAAGTCTATTTTTGGTAAACATCCATCCATCCATCTGTAGCATCATCAAGGTTCTCTAATTTGCCTGTGTGCTTGCCGCTGATATCTCCCGGGACTCTGCCGGCTGCTGGTTGTGGCCCCCCGGGGCGATCCTCTGTGCCTCTCGAGGGGGGCAGTGGCCTTTCTGGTTGCAGTCTCCTTGGGGTTCCTGTGTTCTGGGGCAACGCCTGGATCTCTAGGACTTGGAGCTCCCCCCGTCTCCTACACATCTTTGGGGATAGAGAAACCTTACATAAACAAGTGCGTGTACACACACAGGTGCTCACATGGTGCTCTCAAATGTATGGGCTTGGGCACATTCAACACATGTCTTAAGGCTATGGTTGGCACTAAATGCACTATGATTTATTATCGTGTAATTGTTCAGTTAAACAATGTTGATTTTATCTTTCATCATCAGGTTGACGCAGTGGTAGCTTGCACTTGATGTATTGTTGTGTGTCCCATTTTTTTCTGTTCTTTCTCTTTCTGCAGATCTAGAAGCAGACTCTTGTTCATTATTGTTTATTTTTGTGGAACCCCCCACCCCCTTCCCCCCTCTCTCCCCACCTTTTGTCTTTTCCTTTCTCTTTCACCTCCGACTCCGTGTGTGGTCGGAATTACAAAGCATTCAAAAACAATAACAATAAAGTTTTAAGTATCAGGCGTGACATTAAAAGCAGACGCTTTGATGCTCCACCTGAGAGTAAATCTGTAAGGCTTGTCACCAGCATTCAGACATCAATTCTGTTTGCTTCACAGCCAGACAGGACACGGTAAAAAAAAAAAAAAAAAAGGTTCTCCAATTTGTGGCAAAGGTCACATTTACCCAGCTGGGTCAAGCTGGGTCAGACAGTTACTTTTAAGTCCACAGATTAACCAAGGAGTCATGATGTCGGAAGAATATATCTGATTATCTGCTGCTGTTCCATCCCACAAGAAGGACACTTCAAGTTCACAATAATAATTAAATAATAATATTAACAAACTCTTTGACTTTATTACCGTTTATTATAATCATCATAAATAATCATTTGGTTAAGTATAAATGTATTTTAATTGCATGAAATTAATTATTATGCTTTGGGTATAATAATGATTACTATGGTTGATGACAGGAATGTGTGTTCAGCAAATCAGAAGGCCAGCTTCCACCTTATCCATCTAACACAGAGTTTATCCAGAGTAAACAATAACTGCCAACACATGTTTTTGACGCATGACCAAAGCTTTCTGGCTGAGAGGGGGTGTGTTCTGAGGTCTTTGTAAACTAACCTCCATCAGCTTCACGTCAGTTCTTGAACCAACACCGTCCTGAGGAGACGGGTCGGCCGCCCGGATCCTCTGCCAAGCTGTTCTGTCACACCGATAAGAATAGCTAATAAATGTAAACTGTAACCAGCTGACGAAAAACTCTTTCCAGAGTTATTGATTTCTTAGTTAAGTTGAGATGCAAAAACTCCTTCAGAGTTACAGACTTTGAGATGCCGATAGTTCATCAGCCGTGTGACCCACGGAGACAATCCAGGACTGATTTGGTCGCATCGAGGTCCTTCTACCATAGGTAAGGGTAGGAACGTAGATCGACCGGTAAATCGAGAGCTTCGCCTTCTGACTCAGCTCTCTCTTCACCACGACAGACCAGTACATGCCCGCATCACTGCAGATGCAGCACCAATCCGCCTATTGATCTCACGCTGCAGTTTTCCCTCACTTGTGAACAAGACCCAGAGATACTTACTTACTTCCTGCTCTTGCTCACCAGACAAACCTCCACCTTCATCTCTGACTGGCTGCATTTTGGAACCCCTATCCTCTGGAACTTCAACCTGCCTGTCTCTCAGCCTCTCCCTGGCCAGAACCACCTCCAGCTGCCCACCTAAGCTCCATGGATCTCCACAAACTCAGCTCCCTCCACATCTCACCTTCTGGATCTCAGTCCCAGGAAAATTCCTCTCAGCCCAGCTCAGCCCAGACCAGACCACTCCGCTATTTCCCCCCTCTCCAGACTGTAAGTCCTCCGCACAATTCAGATTCCCTGTTCCCTCCTCGAGTTGGATCTAACTCCCATCTGTCCACAGATTTCCTGCACCGGCTCCCGTTGTGAAGAACTTGGCTACGTTTATGCTGCTTCCTTGGTTTCCCTTTTAATAAATTCTTATTTAAACACTTTACCCTTGTCTCTAAGCTGATTCTGTATGTTGTGGGTCAGATATCTACACCACAACATGACACTGTTCTGGTGACGTGTAGCTGAGAAACACGTAGGATCAGTTATCAGGATTATCATTTCACAGATTTTAAGCAGCTACGTTAGGGGAGAGGAGATTATGTGGTGATGTCACATGCGGCGTGCCGATTTCTAGTTTGTAGTCATGCTAATTACGAACTTTAACAAGCTGATGAATCTGAAAGTACGTGACTGGCGTGGTCGAAACACCCATCATTACATTTCATTTGAATTGCAGTTCCACATGTGTGTGATCCAAGGCCTAAGGCAAAGCGGATTAGAAAATAGCATTTTTAGCCCTGTTGACTTGCATTCATTTTTTCGTTCTTACGGGGACCCAGGAGCAGACCAGAAAGGGAGGAGACTCAGGAGGCCCCCATTAGGAGACCTAATCCTGTCACAATTAAAGTCACGTATCCGGTCCATGGTAGGAGGCTCCCTATCATGGACCGGATACGTGACTGTAATGGTGACAGGATACTTCAGAATAGTGCTCCACCCTCTGTTGTTCTGGTGGGGAACTGTTTTCAATCACTCCCCAGGAAAGCAAAATGTCTCCTGTCACTGCGTGTGTGTCTCTCCCTCGCGGAGCTCACGAAGAAGTATAAATTAGGCTTTAAGCTCAATGCATGTGAGTTAGCAGCCCAGCAGTGTGACGTAGATCTGTCAGGCTTTTCTAACCCTACATTTTCACCATCTATTTTCTATCAGAAGCTAATGCAGCAGATAGGTGGAGACTATTCATGCTCAGACTGCATGAAAAACTCATCTAATTATTAATTTTATTTTCAGTGAACCACACCTTTAAACTGTACCTGTTTTAATGTCGTAAGTGGGCCATAACGACTTTTTACAACAGCGGAAACTTTACTTGTATTTAGATTTTGTTGTCTGATTGCATACCAGCAACAAGCCGCTTTTTCCGGAGAGCGCGTGAACGCAGCACAAGAGAATCAGCGATGTAGTGACCGGTGGTGAGGAGGAGGTGGATGAGAGGGAGACGAGGAAGCATGTCAATGAGAAGAATGAAGAACATGAAAATCCCCGGACACTGAGCTGGCGGACGGAGAAAGCGTGTTCCGTAGCTCGTTAGTGGCTGACCGGGAGCGGAGGGAGGCAGCGGAGCCGAGCAGGAGCAGAATGGAGGAGGAGAGGCAGTTCCTTTGTGGGGTGGTGGAAGGTGAGAGCGGCCGACTTCATTTATGAATGACCTCCCTTCCTCATCATATGTTTTTATTTTTCATTTTTTTATTGTTCTCAGTTATTTTAATTTATCATGCATTTGAAGACAAACGCTGTGTGAACGCTGTAAATGGGCGTGGAGGTGTTGATGAATATATTTATGAAGGCAGGAGAAGGATGGAGGTCTGTGGGAAAGGATGTAGGAATCAGCCAAGCCTGAAGTGGAGATGAGATGGGCTGCTGTCTGTAGCATGGTGCTCGGGTTTATTATGTTTATGTATTTAGCAGACGCTTTTGTCCAAAGCGACTTACAAGAGTTATGTGTTAGAAATAAGCAAGGTGAGGATGATGCTGGAGCACTACAATAGGAAAAGTGATGCTGACGGAGATCTGGGAACACTGACAGCCTGCTTATAATGATGAGGATGACAAAAGAAAGCCAGCATTCTCAAGCTGAGAAAAACAGATGTGAATAAAGAGAGCCACGACAATGCCTTTACAGGTCACATTTATTACTGGAATAATGAGGTTTTGATAATAGATTGTTGTCTAGATACAAATTCATTTTCTACCATATCTTATTGCTTTTATATACAACATGAAACATATCTACCAATACTGGAAAAATAACAAATAAGATTAATTGAAAGTTATTTTAAATCAGATGTTTCATCTAGGATTGTTTTAATATTTGTTAAGTTGACAGAATGATAGTAAAACACACCGGCAGCAAATAACACACATCTAAAATACAAATCTTGTTCATAGTTTTGACCCTGTGATGTTCCACAGTTACATATTTTAATATGTTTTTCTGTAGGTTTAATTTGCAATTGTTGATGCATCAGGGAAGAACAAAATGAAAGACAAACACATTTTATCAACATTAAAACCCATGCTGAGATGTCTTCTTCAAATGGTTAACAGATTGTTTATGCATGTTATAAACTAAGAGTTGCAGACATATTTATTTTATCGGTCTGTCTGAAGAAGCCTAAGCAGAAGTAAAGTCATGTTTTTAGTCATTTTGTGCAGATTTGCAACTGTATAGCTTCTTTATTTTCATTGGACTTTCTCGTTCTATTAAATCTCACTAAAATAGATCTCATTCTTTACTGGCAATTCTTTTTTTCTCCTGTCTCAGCCTCACACATGCACCCTAAAGCAATAAAAAAACAACCCCATGGGCATGCAGACAAAAGTGCTTAGATTGTATTTTATTTACTTCTCAGTCTGACCCATTTACACACACACACACACACACACACACACACACACACACACACACACACACACACACACACACACACACACACACACACACACACACACTTTTGCTCTCTAGACTTATTCAAAACACAAAGGGACACTGGAGATGTTCTCATTTCTAAAAATAGAAAACATGGCGGAGACTCTGTCTGCAGATAAATGAGGACACATGCAGCGAGAGGTGGCCGAGTAGGAGCTGAAAGATCTCAGCTCATTTTGTGTGGTTTGCAAACACCACACTGGAACTTCTACCCAGGCTATCTGTGATCCAAAACTAATTGTTCCTTTATGACCAAAAACAGCATTCTCTTTTTTATTTCTAAAAATGGTGAAGTAACCATCTTCTTATCGTTCTATTACAAAATAAAAAAACTTTTCTTTACCCTTTGTTTGATGTGGTAAAAAAAAGGCTGTATCCGGGGGAATCCTAAGGTGTTCCCTGGCCAGCTGAGAGACTTATGGGCCATTCCCATCTGTACCGGGTCGGCCCGGGTAGCGTAGGTTGTTTACATATCTGGGTGGCCTGGTATTTTTCCGGGCCAACCAAGGCTCATTCTTAGCCCTCTTCTCGAGGGGGTCTGCTTCAGGCCGACCAGGGCCAACACACCCACTGCTGACAGCAAATTCACACCTTCCATTAGAGCAAGCCTCTGACTGGTGGGTAGAATCAGCCCACATGGGCTTCAGACAAGGATGTGTGGAATCAACCGGGCCAGGCTGGGGCCGACTGGGGCTACCCGGCCCGGGCCGACCCGGTACAGATGGGAATGGTCCAGTAGTCCCTCCAACGTGTCCTGAATCTTCCCTGGGTCTCCTCCCAGTTGGATGTGCCCAAAAACCTCACCAGGGAGGCGTCCAGGAGACATCCTGACCAGAAGCTCGAGCCACCTCAACTGGCTCCTTTCAATGTGGCGGAGCAGCGGGTCTACTCTGAGTCCCTCCTGGATGACCGAGCTTCTCACCCTATCAAGGGAGAGCCCAGCCACCCTGTGGAGAAAACATTTTTGCCGCTTGTATCCGCGATCTCGTTCTTTCGGTCACTACCCATGGTGGGCGACGGTGGCACTGGAACTAAGTGCTCACCCCGTTATCGGAAGGTTGCAGGTTCGAGCCCCGCTCAGTCTGTCGCTGTCGTTGTGTCCTTGGGCAAGACACTTAATCCCCCTTGCCTGCTGGTGGTGGTTGGAGGGACCATTAGCGCCAGTGCTCGGGAGCCTCACCTCTGTCAATACGCCCCAGGGCAGCTGTGGCTACATCGTAGCTCATCCCCACCAGTGTGTGAATGTGTGTGTGAATGGGTGAATGACTGATTGTGATGTAAAGCGCCTTGGGGGGTTCCAGGACTCTAGAAGGCGCTATATCAAATACAGGCCATTTACCATTTACCATTTACCCAAAGCTCATGACCATAGGTGAGGGTAGGAACGTAGATCTACTGGTAAATTGGAAGCTTTGCCTTCCAGCTTAGCTTTCTCTTCACCACGACAGATCAGTACAACGCCCGCATCATTGCAGACACGGCAGCTCCAATCCGCCTATTGATCTCACGCTTCATCTTTCCCTCACTCGTGAACAAGACCCGAAGATATTTAAACTCCTCCACTTGAGGCAGAACCTCATCCCTGACCTGGAGAAGGCATTCTACCCAATCATGGACCCAATCATGTTTTCATTATATGAGTAACCATTAGGCTCCATCTCTTGCCACTCTTTATCCTATAAAATGTAAGCTTATCAGCACACATCTTGATATAAATAAGACTGAGTCATATTGTGCTGACTGGATGTTGATCAAGAGCACAAGTCAACAGGAATATTTTAAATGTGACATTCCAAAGCTGTTAGTAGTCCGGTCTTGTTTTTTCTCATTTAATATTTGTTTCCCTCCAGGTTTCTACGGTCGCCCCTGGTCTATGGATCAGAGGAAAGTTCTTTTTCAATGGTAAGCCTCCTGTCAATCATTTTCTTGCTGAATAATAATAATAATAATTTGTTTTCTGGCAACATTTAACCATCAATCTCTGCTCGTAGATCTTGTTTCAGCACATTTTTTAAATTTGCTTAAACGTTCAGTGATTTTTAATAGAACGTATCAGAAAATAATAGCTAATGAAATCACACGAGGTCAATGAGGTATTAGGTTAGGGAAGCTTCCATTCTAGAGAAAACAAAAAAAGTACTGCACAAGGTGAAGTCAGCTGCTAAAACAGTAAAATTTCGTTCAATTCCTCCTGTGTGATGTACGCTGCTCAACTCTGATTGGCTCGGTTAGAATTATCAGGGGGTGGGGTTATCTGAATAGGAGAGTTCCCAGCCGCATGGGGCTGGCTGATCAGGCTAGGCCTCCGGGGGCTGGAAAACCGGACCAAATCAGAATTGCAGCAGTAGTGAAAACCTTTCATTTTACAACATAGTTAGCAGTCTCACACCCCCTGACGGAGCTCTCCTTCACTACTGGTTAGCCAGAGGTTGCACACTTCCATGTCCATGTGGTCCCCACCCTCACACACACTTTCCTCTCTTGTTTAAACACTGTCAATGCCCAGTAATGAAGAGCATGCACAATTGTGCTAAGGGTAACAATTGTTTTTAGGTGTCTTTATTAGTTTTCACTTAACTAAATATGTAAAGTGAGCTGCCTGAACCCTTCTATAGGCTGCCAGGATGTTCATCCTCACAAAAACACCACTAGAACAACGAACGCTGATTATTGCCAAAGCAGCATCATGAAAACAATAAATTAACCAGATGCACCACTCCTTGCGTTCGGTTAGGGTCTAATACTCCACTGCTCTCCTGCCCCTGTTGCCACTGTAACCTTTAAAACCAGGAGAGACCCTGGATGTGTACACACCAAGCAAAGACTTTTCAGACGGTCACATTTACCGGCCGCTTGTTCTAACAGCGGCTGGATCTAGATTCTGATTGGTTGTTTTCTCGTCTAGTCCAGTTGGTTCTATTTTTCTGTTTGCTTATGTTTTCCATTTTCTGATTGGATTTTTGTTAATGCCAGTTACCATTGTCGCCTTTTATTCATTGACAGAAAGAATCTGTGAAACAGCAAAGCTGCGAAGGGTAAACCATGTTATAGCGAGGGACTGTTGTACTTTCTCTCTGAACAGGCAGCAGGCTGAATTTTTGTTCACATACTTGCTGCTGCACGGCATGTAGTAGTGGAGGATTCTGCTAGGGTCACAGTAAACTACTCAAACTGGAAAACGAGACGGGTTTGGGGGCTAAAACAAACATAGCATCGATGGAAGAGGTCAGTAACTGGGTAATTTTTAGATCACAGCAGAAAAAAAAAAGACAGCGGTCGTACACCTCTAAACCAGAGATGGAGTTACCACGGTGAGTTTGTCTCGCTCGTTTCATCAACTCCACCTATTAGTTACTCGGATATTGCAGCGTTCGGGTACATTGCATTAATTTCGGGGGGGGGGGGGGGGGGGGCACGCACAAATGATGCTTCGTTAAACAGCAAGAATATCAGAAATGCGCCACTGCACATCATAGCTTCACGTCTACATTTCATCCAAAACAGACAAAGCATCTGAAGGAGGGACTAAATGATCAACAATCCGAGTCACAGCTAAAAGTAACTCCATACTCAAAAAAAAGACATTAACGTTTCCTCAAAAAGACAAGCTCTTAATGTATGACTCAGCTCCCATCAACATCAACAGCAAAGTGACATCCAAACAAAGCGTCCCTTTTTCTTTTTATTTCAACAAAAAACGTGAATCAGCGAGGGGGTAAGTGTCACGAACATGCTGTTAATGCCTTCACCGTCGAAGAATGCAGCATTCTGTTTTCATGCTTACTCATTCTGCTCATGTGTTTTTGCAGCTGAAAGGAAACCAATTAATTTTTAATGTCGCACGAAGTGTATCTACAAAAATAAAACCCTTAAACCCCTTTTCAAAGCTGGAACACAGGTTTATAGTTTAGTAATTAATAATAAATGAGAGTCTGCTTTCTTTCCATAATAAAATCAGTGTAAATATAGGCTCTGGTCAAAGGTTTTAAATTATGCTAAACAGAGCGTCGCTGTGACGTGTGAATTAGCACACTGGGCACCGGTGTATGAAGACAAGATCTGATCTGCGTCAGAACCTCGTCAGCAGATGAGTGTGTGGGCTCCAGATTTATTCATAGAAAGGTTTTTGGGGAGTCTAGTGGAGCTGGAAGCGTAATTTACTTACTGCTGCTCAGGTTTGACAGAGTATTGCTGTAGATCTGAATACAGGATCCAAGTTTGTGTGTGTGTGACTGTGGGTTTTAGGCGTGTAGGTAAACTTGGCATTTTGTGGAGACAGCTCACATACCATCTGTCCAGGAAGTGACACGCAGAGTGAGAACAGCGCCGTCCTGCTGAAGACAAGAAAAGGGCCCAAAGACAGGAACATTAATGCTTGTTGGTGTGTGTGAATGGCCTTTCAGGTGCAGGTATTGTTTTGCTCTGAGCATGGACGTAATTTTTGGGGGGGACAGGGGGGACATGTCCCCCCCACTTTTTCCAAAGTCAAGTTTTGACCCCTGCACTTTTTACCATCCAAAAACAATATTAAGCTATATTAAATTGACACTGGTTGAGCTCTAGGACCAAGTGGAAAACAACCGTTTGTGTTGAAGCCTGTTTCCCATTAGAGCATACTGTAAAGATACCCCCCCCCCCCCATGCCCCCCCCCCCCCACTTCTAAAGTAAAAATTACGTCCATGGCTCTGAGTACTAGTTTGTATTTATAGTTCAGAAGCTTGTTTCCTGTAACTGATGCAGCCTTGAAGCCTCAACATCAATATGCAGTGAATCTGTTTTCTTCTGGTTTGTTTGTGCTGTCCTCCCGTTCTCGGACGGAGCCTTAACATTCCAACACAGATGCACTTCCTTAAGTGTCTCATTCACTTATTTTATCAATAAATGTGCAGCGGCCTCGGCTATGACTGAATGCCTTGTGAGTAGTTTTCTGTGGAATGAAAGCACACGCCCTCTTGTTTCAGGAGGTGAAGAAGTTTGTCTGAGAGATGGTGGTGGGAGAAACGGCAGGATTAGGAGTCTTACACATTAATATTTATGATATTCAAACATCTAATAGCACCACAACTCTTCCGCTGTCTCTGTTTGCTCTGTAACGTTTATGATCACTCAGGCCCAAGCATGTTCTGCCATGTTGTGAAGTTGCTAACGCTAATGGTTAGCTTCTACAAGGTGAGGCGTGCTTTATCTCCCCTGGAACGTTAAATCAATATAACATTCTGCAGTTGCATGTCAAGGTGGGCAAGGCCATGAATCCCTGTAACATGGAAGCGACTTACTTTTTCTGATCCAGTCGATTTTCTGTCTGTGGCTAATGCAGGCGACGGGGGTGGAAGAAAATGTTCAGGAGCTCATATTGACCAATGGCATTTCAAAAGAAGCAAGTTTTACAAAGTTTATTGATAAACAAGACCTTTGAAGAAACCACGAAAATAAATCTGGATTTTTTTCATTTGTAATACAAGCTTCGTATAAAAGTACGTTTTGATGAGTGACCTTAATTGTAACGAGAACCAAGATCAAAATAAATGTGGGTGCTTTTTCAAAGGTGCTTATTAAGGTCACCATGGTAACCACATGCCAGCATCTTTATCACCCTGATGGGGTGCTTCAGAAGACAAATCAGCAGAGAGGACAACCACTGTGTGATCTTTTGGAACAGTGTGGTTGTCAGTCTAGTAAATTTTTAAGTATCTGAAGTAAACGGCTTGTATTTGAAGTGTTTTATTTTAGAGAGATGAGAAAGTAAAAATAAAAACCATTAATTTCCATTTATCTAATTGTTTTTTATTTTTTATTTTATTATGATTGCCATCTTGGGTGGTTTGTCCATCGATATTTTCCCGTAGATTTTCATGAATTTAGAATCTCATTGCTTATAATCCAAAGCTACAAAGTGTGCAATTGAAGGTTTTTAATGTAAATATTCTCATAAATAAGGATGGGAAACAAGTAAAGTACATTTTACACATGATACTGCATCAAGAAGTCCCATTAAACATGTTCTCTTTTGAGCACAGTTCTGTTACATGGTTCTCTGTGTGGTTTCTGCCTTACTGAGGGTGGATCCTTATGCACTGAAGCACTGTGTATGGAAAGAACAGTTGAGAAGTAGATATTCTGATTATGTAGTCCTTTAGCTTCTTTTTCATAAGTTAAAACTCTCTAAAATGTTGCCACACCTTTTAGGATGCAGCTCTGGGGGCTGAACACCTACCTGTATGGTCCAAAAGACGACCTGAAGCACAGACTGTTATGGAGGGAAGTGTATTCTCCAGAGGAGGAAGGTAAAAGCCTCCTATTTATCCGTCCACCATGCTCTTTACTCATCCGTGCATCTTGACTTACTTTGGTGAAGCGGAGCAGCAGTTGGATAAAAGTCTAACTGACAAGCTGCCATAAAATGAATCAACTCTGAGAAAGTGCTTGGTGACTTTAAAAGCAATGAGTGAAATGGCTTTTTTGATGTTGTAGTGCACTACTATTTTATTACAACCATAGAAGAATCTGCAATTTTTACGCAGTCCAGTCTCTCATGTTTATATCATAATCGTAAGGAAGAGGAATTATGTTAGTTCATGCAAGTTTATGCTATGTGGATTAGATGCTTAAAACCTGCTGAAACTGAAGAAATACAAAGATGTCGTACAATTGTTTTCTAAAAAAGTCAATGGAAATAAAAAAGGCAGAATGAAGGCAAAACAGACAGGCAGCATATGACACATGACAACACATATATTTAGAATATCATATTTATGCTCTGTGACAGATGTTATATCTGACAGATGTTTTGTCATACTCTCAGGTTTTGTCATATTTTCCAGACTGTGATACTTCTGAAACTCAAATTTTGTTCCTACTTACTCCATTTGAACATTTTTGGCAGCTCTTTTCTGCTTTTATGGCAGTTCTATCTATTTTTGTGGCTGATTGGTCAAGAAAAACCTTCGACTTAATTAGTTGGTGTATGTTTAAAGCTAACATTTGTAACATTATGTTGATTTTAGCATGCTAACCATAATATATAACCATGAAACAGCACAACTATGCCCCCTGCTGACCAGAATCTGTATTTGAAGTCTTCTTAAAGTGTGAGCTGTGGTTTGTGTTTCCCAACTCGGTGTATAACTGGTAATGACAGTTTCAGTATTGTCCATAATTACGGTGCCCGTCTGGTGACATTGAGGAAAAAAATAACTTGTGGCCACGTATTAATATCTCGTGGGAATGCATTAATAGGTCGTGGCCACAAGTTACTTTTTTTCCCCTCATTGTCACCAGATGGGCGCCGAACATAATAATTACAGTTTTGATTTGTTTATTCTGTAATCAAATATGACCGAACAAAATAAATTATCTTTGGCAAAAACATTTGAATTACTACATAAATTTTAGCAAATTTTGAATATTTAACAGGATCAGATTTAGGATTAACAGAAGGTTTCCTGGCTGATCTTGCTCTGAGCCAGCACATAGAAAAGAAACTCTTGACTTCTAGCAGCTATAAAACCAAAGATAATCGTGATGCAGACCATCTTCAAATCCCCAGCAAGCTTTAAAAGACAGCTCGCTGAATGATTATTTAAAAAACAACAGGCAGTAAGACCACACCACTCTTCTGGCTGACCAATGATGCATCTAGTCAGAGGAGCTGTCATGCTGTTGCCATCCAAACTAAAATCCTCTTCTGTGCTTTATTCACCAGTTTGGTCAGTATGTGTGGTGTAGTCTCTCTTCTTCTTTATGATTCATTTCCTTCTCTACCTCCGTTTCTCTCTCAGCTCAGTTGCGTACTCTTATAGCAGAGGCTCAGTCCAGAGGGCTGAGATTTGTTTACGCTCTCTCTCCTGGTCAGGATATTGTCTTCTCTTCCTCCTGTGACCTCACGCTGCTCAAACGCAAGCTGAAACAGGTTTCTCATAACAGCAATACAACAGATTTCACAACCAAGCATGTTTATTCAGTCTCTTATAATAAAACCTCCTCTCTCTCTCTCTCCCTCCCTCCGTCAGGTCTCAGACTTGGGCTGCCAGGCATTTGCCATTCTCTTTGATGATATCGATCACTCCATGTGTCAGGCCGACAGCGAGGCCTTCACTTCATTTGCTCACGCTCAGGTCACAGTAACCAATGAGATTTATCGGTTCTTGGGGGAACCAGACGTCTTCCTTTTCTGCCCTACAGGTAGAACTCAAATCATGCAGACGTGACCAGATGGAGTCTACAGCATAAAACGTGTTTCTACCCCGTCTCTTTCCTGTAGAGTACTGTGGGTCTCTGTGCTCTCCGAGTGCCTCCAAGTCTCCCTACCTACAGACTGTTGGAGAGGACCTGCTGCCTGATATAACAGTCATATGGACAGGTGAAAATGACCCATTTGGTGTATCATTTCTAGTTAATTATTAGACTCACCATGCACACATGCAAAGACACGAGTGTGCAAATTTGTCACAACCTCCTCCACAACAAGTAGATGATGTAGGTGCACAATCACCCACATGCAAAAACACACCCGCTCGGGATCGCCCACACACTCTTTCAGTTTGTTTTATCAGTTCCATTTGCTTTTTTCTCTATTTCTACATCTGAAGCGACAGTTGGAGCTATTTGACCGTCTTAATGTTGTACAGTTGTTTTAAACAATCCAGAAACAGACACCAAAGAGTTGTCAAAAGAAAAAATGGGAATTGCTTTTAATAGTAAATGTGACATTCTGACAGGAAATCATGACAAAACACAAGGACCAATCAAGCTGGAGTTGAAGGACTGTGCAGACCATAAACCTAGGGAGTGGATGTACAGGAAATAAATGATTACTGAGTGGCGACAGCTGGCAAAGACACAAAGTGTAACACTAATGGGCTCGACACACGGGAGGCGACATCGCCTCTCCATTCATTTTCAATGAGACATGCGCGACAAAGCGATAATCGCGGGTCCCCCTCCTACTAAGCGAAACGCGAAAAACGTGCGTGTGAAATTTTGCACTCGTGCACGTGTCGTGCACGGATGACCCAGCGACGCGATCCCAGAAAGTTGAAACATTTTTAACTTTTCATCGCTGTCGCTCAGACGAGGACCAATCAACGGAGGGTTCATTCACTGACCAATGAGCGGACAGGATGCTCCGCACATCTCCGAGTAAACATGGAGGAGAAGTTGATTATTATTATGTTTTATAGTAAAATCAGAAGTAAGATTTCACATAACTCTAGCAGCACCTTGTGAAACATCATATCTACCACTTTATTAACTCTGAACCGCTTAAATAACCTTAATTCCCTCCAACCTGACACAGCCAAACAAAACAGCGGAAGTTTCGATTTCACCATGGAACAGAACGCGTAGACGGCTTTGCCGCTGGCCGCTGCCGCGGATCGCCTCCCGTGTGACAGGTAATAAAAGCGACAGCGACAAATTTCGCTGATCGCCGTCGTTTGTCGCCTCCCGTGTGTCGAGCCCATAACACTACTAGTCAGAAATTCGGATTCAGATAGGACGTCATTATTCCCTTGGGAAGGTTCCTCTGGGAAGTTCGTGTGTGGTGCCATTCTTCTGTGACAGAAAAGAGAATCAGTTTCAACATGAAACAAACACAGAAAAGGAAAACACAACATTAAAACGAGTAAAAATCAATTTGATGAGAAATATGAAAAATAGTGAACAGTCAGTCAGTCACTTATTCACACACATTCACACGCTAATGGTGATGAGCTGAAACGTTGAGTTATGACCAATCAGCAGGAGTTAAGCACAAGTCCCGCCCAGCGACCCTATCGGGCCGATACCGAGTACATTCATGAAACCCTAACCCTGGACAGTGGTCCTTTCAGAAGGCCTGGTCAAATGTAGACACACACACACATACTATGAAGTGCGGTAAAGTTATCCTGACAGTCCAAGTGTCCCAAGTGTTGACATCAACTGTTCAAGTCAACACAGTCTGTCAATTAGGAAAGTATCTTATGAACCACTGGATAGCTCAAGAGGTTGAGCGAGTTGTCCAGTAATGTTAGAAGGTTGCAGGTTCAACTCTGGCTCTGGACAGAGAATTCAGGTGTTATGTCCTTGGGCAAGACACTGAACCCCCCCTTGCTTGGTGGTGGTGGTCGGTGGTGCCTGTGTTTGCCTCGCCTCTGTCAGTGCGCTCCAGGGCAGCTGCGGCTACATTGTAGCTCATCACTACCAGTGTGTGAATGGATCAATGATACAAAGTAGTGTAAAGCACTTTGGAGTCCTCTGACTCTGAAAGGCGCTATACAAGTGTGGGTGATTAATCATTTATCATAAACTATCAGACAGTAAATTTAGGACTTATATCTATAACCTTTGGAGTCAAAATGGCCGCCACGGCCAACTGACCCTAGAAAGCAGAAAAGTGGCTAGAACTCAGTTTTACGTGCACTGAGCAGCATTTGTTCCTCTGTATCTTTGACCAGCTGAACACTAACTTTCCACAAGTGCACAGTGGTGGATTGTCGAATGCCCCTGTGTTGTAAAAGAGGAGGTCCTCCTGAGCAAAGGCGCCCAGCTGACAACTCCAACTTATGCAGCAGAACTACAGGAAGTATGCAAGGTTGCTGTCCTGTAAACAGTCGTCCTGTTTTTTCTGCCTCGTCAGAAAAAACCCTCCACTACCTCAACACATCAGTTTACTAATGTTTCACTGACGCAGCGCCTCAAACTCTCAAAGTATGACTTAATATTTAAATGATTGGTTTCTGTGGGAAAAAAACTTGATTTTTCAGATACTCGACTGTTTTGAAAGAGCATCATTAACTGGCAGGGATGTTAGGTGGACAGATTCCCTCGTCAGACCTTCAGCATTCTTGTCAATCTGTCCATCCTTCACTGTCTCACAGGCAGCAAGGTCATCTCCAGGAAACTGTCTTTAGACAGCCTTGCGGAGGTGGAGTCTGTCCTTCAACGACCTCCGCTAATCTGGGACAACCTGCACGCCAACGACTACGATTCCAGGCGTCTCTTCCTGGGGCCTTTTAAGGGCCGAGACCCTCAGATTAGGAGCCACCTGAGGGGCCTGCTACTCAATCCCAACTGCGAGTTTGAAGCTAATTACATCCCACTGCACACACTGGGAGACTGGCATCGAACTGGAAAGGAGGATGTGAACGGTGAGGGGACGGAAGGAGGAACAGGCTGGAGATGTCCTCCGTTTATAAGCTAATAATACCTCCACCAGACCACCTCATGGCGCCGCTACTCCATTTGCTTGTTGGAGAAATGTCTAATGAGCTCATGTTGCTTAGCAACTAGCACCATTCTTAGCCATTGGGCAGTAATTAAGACCCAAATTACTTCATAACAATCTTACAGTAATTGATCAAAGCTCCGTCTGTTAGCCTCAACAACACACTCATCATGCTGATGGCTAATAACCAGAAAAGCACCAGTACTTCATGTTTTTAGCCACTTGCAATTCAAAGGCGTGTTTTAGACATTAAATGTACACGTTTCCAAAGAGTATAAAAGACTTTACAGCATTGTTGTAAACATGTTACAGCTGTGTGTTACCATTTTTACTGCATTCCATGTGCTTTAACAGTTAAATGAATGGAACAGAGGTGTGTGTGTGTGTGTGTGTGGGGGGGGGGGGGTTGAACAGAAAAGCGCTGTGGCGTGTGATTTCCTAATGAATGGGATGCAGTAGAGGTGGTGATGGGGAAGTAATTGTGTGGTGGGATGAGGAAATGAAATATAGGAGAGGAAAGTCATTTTGTTAGGACGAAATAGGATGGAGGACAGGAATGATTATAAAATAAATGAGTGCTCTTTTTAGCCTGAAGTGTGAATGGTGATGAGGAAGTTTTTCTTAATACATGAAAGTTTGACTCCAAGCTTCATATTTACCCTGAACTGCATCAGAGTCTAATTATTCAGACTGCCTGAAATGATTTTCTCACATGAAGACAGATGATCCTGGGTGGTGGTGAATGAAACTGTGTTTTCTGTGTTCTAGATGAAGTGTGTGAGTATTGTCCTGAGAGAGCTCTGACTGCTGCACTCACCGACTGGATGGAGGAACTCAACCAGCCTCTACAAGCAGGTAAATATTAATTATGATGTTTTTCTGTCCTTCTTTAACCACAGCTTGTCCAACTTAGACATTTAGGCCAAGCTCTTGGTAGAGCACCTTAACGACTGTTAAAAGTAACATCCATTCTGCTAGCCTAATCTAATGTTGCATAGGTGATTCAGACATCAATCCATCCATCCAACCATTTTCTTCCGTTTATCCGGAGTCGGGTCATGGGGGCAGCAGCCTAAGCGAGGCCCAGACTTCCTTCTCCCCAGCCACTTGGGCCAGCTCCTCCAGGGAATCCTAAGATGTTCCCTAGCCAGCAGACATATATCTCTCCAGTATGTCCTGGGTCTTACGTTGGGTCTCCTCCTGGTTGGATGTGCCTGGAAAACCTTACCAGGGAGGCGTCCAGGAGGCATCCTGACCAGATGCCCGAGCCACCTCAACTGGCTCCTCTTGATGTGGAGGAGCAGCGGGTCTACTTTGAGCCCTTTCCCAGATGACGGAGCTTCTCGTCCTATCTCTAAATGAGAGCCCAGCCACCCTGCAGAGAAAACTCATGGGAAGATGTGCCGATGGGATTGAGGCTCCACCCACCCATCCTAGTCACCACTAGGCGATCACCTCTGTGATCAGTGTTGGTAGCCCACTGCTTTCCCCTCCTGAGATTTAGGTCTTAGTGTTTAATAAAACAACATATTTCCTGAGGGCAAGAATAACTGCTGGTTTCATGTTTACTTTGAACTTTGGAATCAGCTGAATCAGTTACCATGGCAACCACAGAACATTAAAACTAATGCTTAGCATTCCAAAGCCTTCTCTAGGCTCCATTAGTGGAACATTTTCCCTTTTCTGTTGTAGATTTGTTTGTATTTGATGAGACTAGATTGATTTAAATAAATATGAACTTTGAAGGTTTTTTAGCTGAACTTCTTGTTTACGCCAAAATTATGTTCGATGCATTTTTGTAGGTCGGCAGACTGCGAGAACAGATCATCGTGCCTCTCTTGCATCATCGCGCTCCAAAGCTCCTGACAGATCCGACTGTGTCTCTACCTTCAGAGCCAACGCTGCTGTGGCCAAACTCCCAGTCTTCCCACTGAACTCCAGCTCCCCTCCATCCTCTCCCCCCCTGGGAAAAGTGGAGAGGGAGGCACGAGAGGGGGAGAAAATGAGGTCACACCAGCAGCCCCATCAGCCCGGTCAGCCGCTTCCTGGATCCAGGTCTGGAGCACTTACAGGTGGAGGTCGGACACAGAAGCTCCCGGGTCGGGGTGTATGTGGTGGGAAGGGCATGCTGAGTGAGGCCCAGGTGCGGCTGCTGGTTGGTCTTCATTATCTCCCCCATGAGCACGGTCCATCAGCCCAGAAGCTGCTGCAGGATCTGACGTGGCTGAAAACAAACTGCCACCTGGTCGGCGCTAACGGCAAGAAGACACAACCCCAGAAGGTCAGTCAGGAGGTCACTTAGGTTCCTGTGATGAAACACGGATAGATTCAGACAAGTCCATTATGTCCTCAGGTTGATGAGTGGCGTGGACGAGCGTCCAGGTTCCTGTCTCTGTGTGAAGACATAGCACAGCTCCACTGCAGCGTGGTGGGCGGAGCCAACAGGGCAGTGCTGTATGACCTTTATCCTTATGTGTGGGACCTGAGGAACACCGCTCTGGTGGCAAAGGCCTTCATATGCTGGTTGGGTAAGGACACATGTAGGGTATTCACCAGCCTTGTTCAGATGAATGGGCTTGATGGTGGTTATGGTAGTACACGTGTCTCACACAGTACACAAGTAATGCCTAGTAATTCTAATAAAACTACTAATACTGCCCATTGAGTATTCTATACTAGTATGTTTGATCTGAACTCTAAACCTAATAAAGTCAATGAAACGTTGGAATTGGCAGTATACTTGGATACTCTATAGTACTTGTGTGCACCTCACCAGTGTGCTGCTTTCCTTTTATTGTATTTTTAAGAATCCAAGTAATGTCATTCACCATTAAGGAAATGTGTGTGATTGAAGGGTCTGAACAGGTTCTATTATCAGAGCGGAGTCGTGATCATATCTGAGTGACTCGTGTCTTTATGTCCATCAGATGGGCGGGTGATGAGTGACAGCTCCAGCCTCGGCTCCTGGAGGGACTGCTTTCACTGTGAGTCAGCCGGAGCTTTCCTCTATCTCTCCTTCTCTAAAAGTCAGAGTAAATCAGTTTTCTATACCTCTTCTATGGAGAAGGGAATATTATGGGGTGAACCAGGCATGAAACTGAAAAATGTTAACTTCAACCAAAATCGCACATATTGTTGTTGGTATATTTCAGTTGTGTTGCTCCTGGGTCCATTCTGCTCTTGTGATTAGGGTGTGGGAAGGCTACAGGAGAGGACCTGTCAGGTGTGGACTCAGAGCCATGGGCGTTCAAAGGGGGCGTGTCTGGGGAAGTGCAGGTAGAGTCTGAGAAATGCTGGTTGTGGCATATTTACGCACTCATATTTTAGATTTCCTCATTTCTGAGTAAACTTTGTCAAACCCAGCCCTAAAACCTGTCTGGTGTGTGTGTGTGTGTGTGTGTGTGTGTGTGTGCGTGCGTGCGTGCGTGCGTGCGTGCGTGTGTGTGTGTGTGTGTGTGTGTGTGTGTGTGTGTGCGTGCGTGCGTGCGTGTGTGTGTGTGTGGTTATGTTTTGCATAGATGCTCCTCCCAATAGGCAGCAGCAGTGAACTCTTCACCCATCCTCCTCCTCTCTTCCCTACCTCTCGCCTCTACAACATCAGGCCCTACCACAGCAAAGACAAGGTAGATGAAACCATGACAATCCCATCTCTACAGGGAGAAAGGTGTGTGATGGTGTATTGTCCCGAGAGTGAAACGTGTAATAGCTGAAGCCAGTCCAGTTCCAGATGGCTGTGACATAATTGGACCCATGAGGCCGTTTCTCCTTTGGGGACAGACGAGCTTTTCCACCAGGGGTTGGGGGTGTCAGCAGTGCGTGATCAGTCATTGGCTATGCAATCGGGAGAAGGGTGGTCCTCGTCAGAGAATGTGAAACGGAAAATATTGCTGTCAGTTTTTCACTCTCACTAACATTGTGTTTCTGACTTGGTTTAAAGCTTGTCATCCTCCTGAGGGTCCCTAGTGGCCTGGGGTCCCCGAGCAATTACCTGCAGTACGTTGGAGCCTCTGAGCATAATGTGTTTCCTGAAGGAAATTTTATTTTATTGTTTCTAAATATCAAGTATCATAAAAGTAAGAACTTAAGTTAGAGAATAGTTTAAGTTCTGTAAATCTCCTGGCTGCTGCCATAAAACAAATTAGCAAACAGGACCATGTAGGGCTCAGGCTAGCACCCTCCACAATAAAAGAGTCAGAGCAACCCGGTTAGTCAAAAGTCAGTAATAGGTAGTGTGTGCTGCTGCTGTGTTTGTAGGTGGAGCTGTATCGGATGGTTCGCCAGCTTCACCTGAGGACTCAGGGTGGTCAGGAGTCCAGCACGGCTCACCCAGATGTCATTGGAGACAGGTTAGTCAGCACAAAAGAACAACTTTCTGGTGTTTTCTCACTGAACTTGTTAATGTTGGCACCTCCTTTTATCCTCTAGGTGTCTGGGCCCATGTCTGGCGCTGAGCCCCGAGTACAGCTTCATCCTGGAGGATGAGCTGGGTGTTTGTGGCTGTGTGCTAGGTATCTCGGACGTCCGCTCCTTCGCCAAACGGTGCCAGGCCAGCTGGATTCCTGCCATGAGAGACAAATACCCACCAAAAGGCACCAACACACACACCTACACACAGGTGAGGCACAGAGCATGGTGCGGCACAATGAACTCATTAAATGAATTACATGCACGTGCGTACCGGTACCGATGTTTGAAGCAGAACTGCTGCGTCATTTTTAAAGGAGCAGAACGAGGCATCAGGAAGATTCGTGCTCACAAATGCTTAGACATATCTGCACCAGCTGGGCTTCTCTGTCATCATTAATTAGTCAGCGGGCAGATGGTCCACATAAGAACTCAAAACAAGCATCTTAGATGGTTTAAAGCTATTACCGGAAATCCTCTAATACAGGCCCGGGCCTGTATTTGACTCAAGCTCCAGGTCTTTATTGGAAGGAGGGCCAGAATTAGAGGCATGCCTCTATTTCTATTTGAGCAAAATGAACTAATGGTTCGCTGGAGTTTTTGACAATTAAAATTGCGCCCACATTTTCAAAGTTAAACACATTTCTTTTAACAACGGTAGTTTCTGCTTCAGCCCTCTCCCCCCTCCCCCTGCGCAGCGGCCACAAACTCACTGATGCGCCTGCAGCCTCTCAGTGTTCCTGCTGCTCTAAACATTAAAATAATTATTTCATTTTCTGTTCCTCACTTTGGTTAAATAAATCACACACACACACACACACACACACTCCTCTGTTTGGTCTCCTATCTTATTACAGCCCACCACTTCCAGTCTGGGTTGTAACAATCTGCAGACAGATTTCTGAGTATCTCCTCCTTTACACAGATCCTCACTGAGCCATGTACTGTGAACAAATAGTTTCTCCATGATATTATCCAGCAAGGTCCCGTTTTTGTCAAAACAAGGGTGAGGTAATGAAAAAATAGAAATATTTCATTAAATTAACATTTAAATTATTTATATGCATCATTAAAATAAAAAACATGTTTTGAAATATATAAAGTGCACCAAACTTGACTCAGTCCATTCAACAATTCTAAATGGACAATTATGTAACTCATCAATTAATTATTTGAAAGGATAATTTGTCAATTAAATGCTGAAAAAAAATAAACAATACATTAATGAGGCAAGAACGTTTTAAACTTGAACATACCTACACCCACAAGTCTATTTTTACCTGGAGTCTCCTCTCAAGAGTGGCTGAAGTAATATTACAACTTTGACAGAATACAAATTCTCTCTCTCTCTCTCTCTCTCTCTCTCTCTCTCTGGAAGCCCCACTCTAAGGGCCTTTGCAGTGTAATAGTGACTCATATATTGTACAACCACAGTCATAAAGTTTTCAATCAGTAGTTTTATTTCATTATGTATTTTTCTAGTATCACAAAAAATATAATTTTATATGGTTAAAACCATCTAGCTCATGTGCACTTTTTAAAACACTGCCCAGCCAACATTCGGACGTTTAATTACATTTGAACGGTCACAACTGTAAAATAATATCACAGGAATTAGGAAAAAATAATATGACATCTACTCTAATGTCCTTGCCTGGACTCGAACCTGGATCCTCCAGGGGGAGAGTCACCCGCTCTCCCAGCTGAGCTATGACAACAACTACTGAATATCAGATTTTTTATATAAATATAGCTCCCATCATTTTGGTCCGACAGGAAGTCAATGGGCCAATGAGGTAGAGGGTAAAGTGCGGGGTAAACTAACAAATCAGAGGACAGAGAAGATCTGCCACAGGCCACGCCTGCAGAGTCCCAAAACCCCTTCACAGCCGAGCGAGCGGAGTCAGAAATCGAGCGGAGAGAGGCTGCCGCGCGCGCACGTTTTCCTCTGCCGTGTGCTCGTTGGCAACGCGCGCACACAGGTTTGTCACTTGTGCACATCCTTGTGCGCTCACAGACACAGTTTGCTCCCTCTCAGTGCACAAATGACCTCTCGCCATGTATATTTTCACTCGCGAGTCCCGTTCACATGCGCAATGTGGACCCAATCCGCGTGCACGGGTTGTGGCACTGGTCTGACGCCATAGACCTTCCACTAGTGTACCTACCGTAACCACAAAATGGTTGATTGCAGTTTCTGGTCAGCAGAGGGCGTCAGAGTTTCTGCCTCAAGAACCACTGAAATCAGTTTGAAAGCAATAGATTAAAGTGTAAGCAAACTCTTCAGTACTGCTGGATGCTGCTGGACGGATCGTAGTAAATGTTTCTGAAAAAAATCTATGGATGTTCATCCACTGATTTCCTTCTGGAGTTATTCCAATTTAAGATGGCCACCACAGCCAATCAAATTTAGTAAACTGACTAAAAGGGAAACTTGCTGAAGCAGAAGCTAAGAGCAACTCATAACACACAATATAAAAGCTAACAGTAGGTGTGTTTCCATTGTTGGAACCTCAGGGTAACTCTGGGAGGGGGAAATAGATCGGGCGATACGATGAATTCCGCCCGTTCAGGAATTTACATCAGCCTATTGCATCATCTTTGGCAGTGAGGGATGTCATCGATCAGCACCAAACATAATCCACAGCAGTAACATAACATTAAAAGGTTTTTTCCATCGAAATCCAGCATAATTTAATCCATTTGAAGGATGAGAGCAGTTGTCTGATGTGAAATGTGGTATTCAATGACTGATAGAAGCTCAGTTGTTTTATGGCGCTCGGTGACAACAAAGCCTTGCTGTTGTGGGGGAATCGGCTGCGTTTTTCTGTGTTGGGAGTTCAGTGACGGCCATTTTAAAGCAGCGCAGTTCTTCATGAGCAACTCTTCTACTGTAGCTTTACAAATGCCAATTGTTTTGGACGACGTCTGCTGATGCCCGTTCCTGCTGAGTTACATCCAATCGGTGTGAGTTAACCAAAAGTTCTGCCAAGCTACTCCACCAAACATCTCCTCTTGTTCAGTTACTCCAAAAGTTCTTGAAAAACAGCTGTTAGATGGCCCGGTGAAGTGGAGACACGTACATGCTGGGAAGTTCCTGTAGTGGAAACACGCCAGTGTGTGAGGCCATTTGAGGTCTCAAGAAGGCAGCAGCAGCTGTGAGCAATGTGCTGTATATGTGTAAACACACTTGTGCTGCTGACTTTAAAGTCCCATTAGTTGTCACACACACAGGTGTGTGTGCGAAATTTGTTCTCCGCATTTGACCCATCCCCTGGGGGAGCGGTGAGCTGCAGACACAGCCGCGCTCAGGAACCATTTGGTGGTTTAACCCCCTAATCCAACCCCTTAATGCTGAGTGTCAAGCAGGGAGGCATTGGGTCCCATTTTTTCAAAGTCTTTGGTATGACCCGACCAGGAATCGAACCCTGATCTCCCAGTCTCAGGGCGGACACTCTACCACTAGGCCACTTAATAAGGTATCTCTTCTGTCATCACATTCTCAGAATACCTGTCTGCTTCTTTTTAAGCAGGACCTGATCCGGCTAATGGAGGAGGATCAGGGGGAATACCCGGACTCGCTCCTCTATCACTTCCCCTCCCAGCTCAGATTGGACGCCCTGCCTGAACTTGTGGACGTCAGTGTCAGCCGAACCCTTCTCACCGCCCTCCTCACTGCTCTCAAGGCCAACGGTATGCTCAGCACTTTTTCATGTTTGACAAACGAGGAAATAAAATCCTGTCTGGGCTGGTGAGAAAATCATTACAGGGTTTAAAATCTGCATTGGTGCAACTATGTGTCACACCGATGTAACAGGTCAGAGCTAAAAATACGTTCAACAATGATCAGAGGACGAACGGCTCACATATGTGTTATATGTTTCTATGTGCAGGTTCTCAGGGTGTGTTCTGCGAGGTACAGCCTACGGACCATCAGAGGCTGGAGTTCTTAACCAAGCTGGGCTTCCTGGAGATCCTCAGGGGAGAAGCGAGGAGCAGGGAGGGGGTGGTGCTGGGGAGGCTGCTCTGAACATATTTAAGATAAAAAAAAAATACATCATATCTTCACAATGTGGTCACAGACTGGAGCTCCTTCCAGACATGAGACGCTTTATCCAACAATCTGATTAAACATTCAGCCATTGAAGACCTGATGTTTCAGTAGAAATGTTGAAGTGATGATTTTCAACTAAGAACTTCTTCTGTCGTTAGAAAGTGAAGCCATGATATTCTGATACCACTAGCGTGGAGGAGGTGGTCTAGAACATAATGGGGTTGGATTCTAATGCATGCGGTTAACTATGGTCTGCATTTACATAGACATCATGTTTTAGTCCTTAAACATTATTTAGTGAATAACGGTTTTTGAAATGCGTCGTGTTCTCACGTAGACAACCGTAACACCACACTAACAGTGATGGCTGCTAACAGTTTTTACTTGGCAAGCAAACTCCACGTGCACGTTTCACTAGCCAGCTCCTGTTTATGGCATATCTGGTTATAGTGCTACAGTGCCACCTACAGGCCTGGCATAGACGCTACAACATTTGTTCATAATGTCATAAAATTTACATTCTATTATCACAGGCTTTGGGCAGTCTCTCTCTGTTGCTTCTTCATGAGATGTTGACTAATCACAATAATAGCCGTCAGTTAAAAATTTGTTTTCACTCAACCTGATTGAAGAAATGAGCCTAGATGATTTACTAAACAACTAAGGGGGTAAAACGCTGAAACTTTGGTAACGTCATGTGGTACAAACTATTTTCCAACGTAAAACCTGCTGTTGTTAAACAGATTAAACGGGAAGTGAAGCACGTCTGAAAGGAGCTACAAACACTAACATTTTACACAACTGTTGCACTCAGATATAAATACCTAAATATCACCCAAACACACAGAACGATGCTCTGGACACCGTGTGGAGTGTGACAGAGACCACTGAGCTTTAAATAAGACTCATGAGACCTTTTTTATTTTCTGAGGGACAAATTCAGATTCCTTAGAGTGAAAAATCAAGATGAACCCTAGGATTTCTGAGCAGTTTACAACATGAACTGATGTTTTATTCTTTTCAAAGAGCCAACTTCAGCTCTGTTTATTTCTCATGTTTTAGATGGGTTACGGTTAGGGTTGACTGAAGTTTTAGACGGGAGCAGAGCACTTGATCCCAGGAGAAAAACCATGTCTGAAGATTGTCAACCATTTGTGTTTTAAAGTGAGCACATGCTAATTTTAAGAGTTTGCAGACATTATTTAGGCTCTGAGAGCACAAAAAGCAGAAAGAGACTGTTTAAACAGGACCTGACTCCTGAGGTGAATTAAAATGTAACAACTCTGTATGACAGATTCAGACACCGTGAGTTTACTAAATCCCGTTTTTGCCAGTTCACATGTGAAACAGGTTGTGTTGCACATTTGTAATACCCACTTGTAAAATGTGCTATGCTAATCTGCTTGTAGCACAATTTCCCCATCTTTGTATCAAAATACAGTTTCTAACTGGTCTTCTCTTATGGATCTTGTGCTCCAATTCCTCAGATTTGATCGTAAAAACTCACTTTTTTATTTTGTTAAAGCAGAAATCTGGAGTTTTTTCTCAGAGAGCACCATCTAGAGGTGGTAGAACGCACTGCACCCCAAGCCACTCCCGTACTTTTGTGATTACAGCTGAAAGCATGGCCACTCATTCCTGAATAGCTGACCAACTATTATTCTCGTGTTATGTTGTTTGACTTTTCCATAACACATGTCACTGGGTCTGCATCAGTCCTGGTGTGACTGCAAGCGCTCGCACCTGTTCGGTGCCAACATCTGCACGTTAGTGGATGTCCGACGCTATTGGCTAATGCTGAGCAGCGCTCAGTTACAACTGCATGTGGCTCTACGGACGGGGGGCAGGCTTAGTCCAAATAAAATTGTCTAAAATTGCATCACTCTTCAGGGTCAGACTATCACTTTTACTATTTGTAAAAAGGGGAGAAACTCCAGATCACTGCTTTAATATAGAGATCTGTTGGTTAGATGATCCTAAAACACCAAACCCAGCTTTGACCATTTACTATTGTGTTAAATGAATGTTTACATGCATGGACATCACACAGCTTTATTTCGGAGCAGGGTTACGTGTAAATAAACATGAGCAAATCGAATTTTAATTGCATGCACTCTTCTGGAAGCTGTTTATTTTTAGATGTAAAACGCGTAGGGACAGGTGAGAAAGTCACAAAACTTATGCATGGAGAAAAAAAAAGATGAACACCAGTATCCCACTGGGATTAGACTGTTAGCAATAAACTGATGCTTGATTTTAAAAAAAATCTTAAATTATGTTCTTATTTTATTTCTGAGGGTTCTTAATTTGTTTAATTGAGTAGTGTCTTGCTTTCATGTCGCTGGAATTTTGAACATGACTTCTACTGTTGCGTCAACATGGATCCATTTCAGTTTAGTTTTCAGGAGTTAGTACGTATAAAAACATAACCTTATGGCAAATGGAGACTCTCTGTGACTAAAATTGCCACAAAAAGTGTATTTTTTGCAAAACACAATTTGCCCTCACTTGACCCTGCTGCATATAAAACCTGTTGCAAATATGTTTCATTTAGTTTGGCTAAATTGTATTATTCACTAACTAGTCACAGCCCAGTGAGATACTGACTTATGCAACCCAAAAATGTAACACACACATACACACACACACTTCCTGTAACAATGTTTACACCTGGTTAAGCTGGTTTTAGTGGGGACCGCTGCCTTGTTTCACAAAAATGACAGCTGTCTGACGCTCACTGCGAGTGTGATAAAAACACAAACAGTTGCGTCATTCTGCCTTTATTAAAGCTTAACACACACACACACACACACACACACACACACACACAGAAGCACAACAGCACTCACCATCAAACCTTTTAACTGAAAGTATATAGGACCATGAATGTTTCATTTTGGTCTAAAGACACAGTTTGTGCATCTGTTTGTATTCAAACTGTTTTTGCTTTTTATTACAAATATCCTCAACCACTGGAGCGAAAAGCACTTTTTATAATTAAGTATCATTAACATTTTCTTTGAGGTTCTTTTTAATAACAATGTAGAAAAATAAAAACAATAACAAACAGAAATGCACGATGTAGAACAAAACGATGATGAAATGTGTTGTCACTGCATCTTTTAAGGAAAATGGTTTGAAAGTTGTTTTTCTTCATTGTGATAAATTACAAATGTGTGTACATTTAAGTGTGTCAATCGTGGCACGATTATTAATAATAGTATTAATAATTTTAACTGGAGACCCATGCAGCTGCTTAATGGTTTCAGCTTCCACCTGCACGGAGCTTCTCTTCTACTTTGGGTTTACAACGGTGCAAAGCAGCACGTCTATGCAGGGTGATGAAAACAATAAAAACAGAAGGTGATGCTGAAGACTTTTGGTTTTATTGATGCTATCAGTAAAAAATAATTTTAAAACAATGTTTTTAGATCAACTTGTTGATTTTAATGCTTAATAAAATAACTTCTTTTCCTCTTTAAGTCTGAATCTTTGTCTCTAGTGAACGAGTCGGTGTGTTTAAAACGGGACTTAAACATGTACGTACAAAGGTTTTACTTCTCTATAAATACCAGAAATCTGAGGTTACACTGCATTCCTTTTTTTAATTTTTTACTGAAAGAGAAACAACATTACCTGCAGTTACCAAAATACAATTAACCTTTCTTAATTTTTCTAGATAAATAACAACAAGACAGCTAGACACAAAAATATACCAACCAACCCCCCCCCCCCCCCCCCCCAGATCAACACACCCAACAAACATTACTACTTGAATATAACAATAACAGAGTACATTTACTACTACTACACTGCATTCCTGTGGACAAACTATGAAAGGACAGTTTTTCATAGTTTTTTTTATTTATTTTACTTTTTTTCACTTTTTGGGGTTTACAATAAAAATACATTGAAAATGGTTCATGACACAAAACATGATGTAAGAACCATCTTGTCTCTACACGTCAGTGCTCTTCCTCTCTTCCGTTTTTCCGGCTTGCCATTGGCTGCGAGTACGCAGGTTGAGTTCAGGAGCCTTGACTTGACCAGTGGGGATGCGGTATGTCTCCAAACTGCCACTGAGCAGCAGCATGAGCGTGCTTACTGAAGTAGCCCCCCAACTGCATGCTGGGAGACCCACCTAAACAGGGTGAGAGGACATTAAACAATGAATAGGGGTTGGACCCATGATTCTTAAAGGCACATCACCAAATAAAGCATTCTTTAAACAATTATGACTTCATTTGGGGCTTTTTAAAAGATGTGTCTCAATCCGCAAAGCAGTACATGGTTAGCTGGAGGACTGGTTGTGTGATCCCAAGTGTAATGACCATAAATGAGTGAGCCTGGATCCTTTTACACTGTAACACCATCACTGCCATTTTACAAAGCACTGAAAAAGAAACTAAATATGTCTAAAAAAAGGAGTAAAGAAATAAAAGTTTGCTCTTACGGTTCCCAGCCAGTTTTTCAGGGCGATGTCAGCGTACGCAGAGAGGAAAGCTGCAATTAGATGAGAAAAAAAAACAACTCTAATTACAGAAAATCCTCCATAAACTCAGCAACTGGCTGTTTTTTTCCCTGACAGCATTTGAAGCACCAATTAGGGTCAATTTCCATAATGGGAGCAAATTAGCATCATGTCAAACTGGTCGGTGCTAATGTCCATGACGCTCCGGCTCTAATTTGGCCCCGTCTAAGCAGAAAAAGAGCAGGGGTGGAATGATAAGCATGGAGAACATTCCCAGATTAATAATCTCCTAAAGGCCTTGGATTAAATAACTGGCAAATGTGTTATATTGTTTAATAAATTAGATAAAAGAGGAAACAGAAAACAAAATAAGAAAGTTGTTTGGGATTAAATAAATTAAATTAATTGAAGGAATAGACTCTGAGTTTTTACGTCTATGCATGAATATTTGAACCAAAGCAGCTTCCTTCTGTGACCATAAATGTCTACATCCCCACACTGGTTAATAAGAGGCCATTTGTCACTTTAAGCGGTTTTGATTCAGCGGACGAAGAAGTTCATGATTCACCGAGGTGAGGCGGGACGAGGCAAGTGACATTTTAATAACCCAGACAAACAGGAAGCCTTTCATATAAAGCAGGAGGACAGCGGGCTTGTAAACTGTCTGGTCTCCTGCTTTTAAAAGAGGAACATTTTGTTGTTAGACCCCGGAGCAACTCCGACATTAACAACCTCGTAGTGGAGGAGCTCTGTCCCTATACAGAGAGTGAAAAAGAAAGTAAAACCGACTGAAATCTAATTTGTACTCTGGGTTTTATTTCTAATAAAGCCACAAGTTACAAATTGAGAGGAGTCGAGCAAAACTGCAGGAAAAGAAATGAGTTTGAACAACTTTCCAAACTGATGATAGAATCAGCACCATGGACAGTGGCAGGGATAATACTGTTTGTTTTTTTGTTTTTGTTTTTTCAACTGCTTGACATTTTTAGCTACACTTAAAGTCACACTTGGCAGTTTTGGCTTGCTTTTACCACCTCCTAGTGTCTATTTAGTAGAACCAAATCTCATCACTGTGCAATTGTCTTTTTAACACCTTTACCTAACAGCTGAAATGTCTTCTTTAGTGTCTACAGGAGTGATTCGTCACAAAATTAAACAAATCAGCTATATTCGTGATCTAAAACATGCAGGACACATGCTGGCACTCTGAAGTTGCAAGTGCAACATTCTGGCCACAGTGGGGGTCTGATGGACATTTCATTAACCCTGTAATGGGTCGTTTTAGCACATCCTGGCTCAAGAAAATTATTTAAAAGTATGAAAGAGTTCCATAGCATGGCTTTAAATTTGATTGTGCCTGTCTTGTTTTATGTCACGGTACACCTCAGAAAAAAACAGCAAATCTAAAAATTTTTGTGTATTTTGGTTACCGCTAGCAATAGCAAAGAGAAGAGTCCTCCAGCTGAAGGTGAAGAAGAGTCCTCCAACCAGCATGCAGCCCAGAGCTCCGTTAAACCCCGACAGACCCGAGTACAGTGACTCATGATGCACCGCCACTGATAACCCTGCAACACATAACCAACAGGAGGTGGAAAACAGAAACAGAGTTCCTGTTAAAACGCAGTGCTACATTTGACCACATGGTGGTGATAGATCCTAAGTTTGATGAACTGCTCTGAGTGCAACACTTAATATGTGTGTAACCTAATAAGGACATGTTTGAGTTTCACGTCACAGACAGAACAGGGACAAATGGTTCAGCTACTGGGTGAAAACCTTCATCTGGCCCTCATCAGGGAGGATTCACATCATAGCAAACATGAAGATGGAAGTAGAAAGATGCTCCCTAAAGGTGACTTAAACAAATATAATTGAACCAAACATACCAGTAAACATACAGAACAGCAAAGGTGTACTCAGACCTGAAGTCAGGTCTTCAGTACAATTTAAAACTGGCATGTCCAAAGTGTGGCTTGTGGGCCATTTGTGGCCCTCTGAGTGATTTAGTGGGACTCGCTATTGCTTTTCTTGGGATGACGGTGGCACAGGAGTTAGGTGCTCACCTCATAATCGGAAGATTGCAGGTTCAAACCCCACTCAGTCTGTCACTACCATTGTGTCCCTGGGCAAGACACTTAACCCACCTATACTGAAGGTGTTCGGAGGGACCGGTGGTGCCAGTACTCGGCAGCCTCATCGTAGTCAGTGCGCCCCAGGGCAGCTGTGGCTACATCGTAGCTCAACCCCACCAGCGTGTGAATGTGTGAATGGCTGATTGTGTTGTAAAGCACCTTGGGGGATTCCAGGACTCTAGAAGGCGCTATATCAAATACAGACCATTTTTCTACAAAAAGGCAACTTTAGTCGTCCAGCAGGCCTTAAATAGATCCACACGGATCCTTTTATGATCCGATTCTACTAATTGCAGGCCTATTTCTGAGAAGTACAAATACAATATATAAAGTCAAAGTTTGTATAAAGTATGTAATTAATAAGTTTTAATAGGAACATATGCTAACCTCACCTTTTGTTGCCACGTGAGTCTCTGCTGCTTCTATAAACACCCAGAACATGAAAAAAAAATGTCCATCTGTTCTCTGTCAGTGTTTGGTTTCATGAATTATCTGCCTAAAAAGCATAATTAACATGGAGCCACCTCTCACATGCAAGAGAGAGCTGCTGATGGAGGAGCAGCAGTTCTACTCCTAGCCCCACCCAACATCAGAGCTTCTCAGCTTATAGCAGCCTGAGTAGGGTTGACGTGGGTTTGGCCAGCTCTAGCTTGTTTCCTTAAAGCGACAGAACCCTAAAAAGACTCATTCTCGAGGGTACTGAAAATGTCAAGAATAAAACATCTGAAATCGTTTTATATGAGAAGGATTTTGTGCCAAGAACTTTTTAAACATGTTTGGTATCAATCGTAAAACTAATGTAACAGGAAAAAAGTGTAAATATGTCTCTTTTAATGTGTGTATGTGCTTAGAAGTTGGGGTTAGGGGTTCTGGCTTGTGTTGGAACCAGACAAGGGTTGGAAATAATTGTTTTAAACAATGCTAGCATATGAAAATTACCTCATGTTGCACATTTGTGTTGATTAAACAACTGCATAGAAACTTGAGTTTCTGAACATGAAACATACATTTTATATTATACGTCATATCATTAAAAACAGCAGTAAACGATGTTGACTGTAATATTGCACGAGCTGGTGAGATTTGATCTTCACCAGCACATGTATTACTTATTGCTGCTGGGAAAGAGAAACACTCCAAAAACAATTTATTTATTAAAGATTTAACATTTTCTGTGTCAACAAAATCATTAAGGATGTTATGCATTTATAAGGAAGCAACTGTTAACTAGATAAACTATCTGTATTTAGCTAAATAACAAAACTAAAAACTAATTTATGGAAAAAAAATGTGGAAAAGCCTCGGTAAACATTACATGTCAGCATCGTTTAACCTCTCTGTGGTGCTCCTGCGGATTGTTGACGATGCAGATAAACATCATGACAGTTCTCTAGCTCTGACTCACAGCCCGTAGCAGAAAAACACCATAAACAGAAAACACGAGGGTCATTCAGACCCAGGTAGATCTCGGCTCGGTCAGGTGAGCTGACATTTTCTCTCATGGCCTCCAGCGTGTCTCTCAACCCACACACGACGGAGGAAAACAATAAAAATCACTAAGCTGTCGGAAGGAGTCCGCCAGAGTAGTTCAAGCCTGCAAAGGCCAATGCTTTTCAACACATTTCACATGGAAATTAGGCATCATGGTGATTCATTGCTGCACCGCTTGCTCGGAATTCTAAATCCCGGCTCATGAGCATTTGCTCATTAATTAGAATTTTGCATGAACGAAAATGTTCAGGCTGCAAACTAATCAGACACAGAGAGGGTTATTTATGTTGGTGCAACGCAATTCTCGTCTGATGTATGTGAAAAAGTTCCAATTACTGGCGATCTCTGCCATTACCATCCATTCCTGTTAGCATCCACAAGCAAATAATAAGCCAGGCCATGAGTCACTGGCAGATGTTAGAAAAAGCTTGGACTGTCTGGAGTAAACAGCATATTTTTAACCTCTGAGCAACATCAGCATCGTTAAAAATGAATGCTGTCTCTGAGAGGGACAGCTACCTACGTGCTCTTTCTGGGTTTATTTTACACATCTATGCATCATCAGCTGTTTTAGTGTTGATGGGAAGGAGCTTTAGAACGTCTGATGATGCACTCTGATCAAATCCAAAAAACCCACCCAGGACTCCTCGACATCCTTACGGTGTGAAAACCACAGAGATGTCAGAGAGGTTCAGCAGCTCTAGCCTGCAGGCAGTGCAGTGATGGATTTACTCATTACCGGGTAATAGGAGCTGCAGATTGGCCGGCTGACTCTGGAGTGACCGCGCCCCGGTGCTCCCTCCTCCTGGCATGAATCTCTGCCCTCCACTGTCCTCATCTGAACTGCCTCTCCTCTTTTAAAGCTGCACCTTCTCTGGAAACATCCTGTGCATCACACAGTGGCTCCCACCCGTTTTCCTACAGCGTTCACACAAGCAGGGAAAAACTAATGGCACGGTGGGAGGAAATTTCCACAGGATGCTAACGTCTTCATTAAGTTTTCTTTAGGTGCTTTATATTTTGCGGATGTGTTTGCGTAGAGATGTTTGTTCTCTAATAGAATGCGTCAGAAAGCTTTAATCAGATAAAACAAAAAGTTTTCTGTTCTCTCCTCTTCTCTATCCTTCCATCCACTCCTCAGACAGAAGTAAATTTCTGTTTCACCTCCACATATGTCCTCATTATGCAGAGTTGGTGAAGGGAGCCTTGGTTCTACATCCTATACAGCGACATTCATCAGACGTAACTAAATTTAAAGTGGAAACAATATAAAACTCTGCAAATGGGAATTTAATCAATGCTTGGTTTAATAATCGAGGTAAACCCGGGTCTATTGTCAGCAACGTTTGTCTATTTAGAGAAATTTGAAATTATAGTTTAAATAAATGAACTAAATTTGCATCATCACCTGTGCAGCAAATTCAACGGAAATAAAAGAATCTCATTAAAAAATGAAAAAGTGAAAAATAAATGAGTAAAGATCTAACTAGTGTCTGTTACATGGATTCAAGATGAAGAATCTATAAATGTATGTTTCTGCCAGATGAAGGAAGCAGGTGGTGGAGAGGCTTTGGCCTACATTCAGCCCCTGATCTTCTCCTCTGGAAACCCCTGATGGGGATGAGTGACAGCTCTAAAATTGGCCTCCTGCTCTGCTGGTTCCTGCTGAGCTTCACGTGTCTCTGCTGTTGCAGCTGGACCGAGACTAGCTCTTCTTTCCCTTTTTGGACTCTTTATGCATTTTATTCATAGATAATAATACCCGATTAATGGTGACAGAAAACCTTCCCACTTTGTTCTCACACCTCATTTCTTACCTGTTAATGCTAAAACAAGACAAAATGACCAACCATGGTCGTTTAATTGTCAGTTCATGCCATGAATATTTAGATTTCAGTTTTTATTAGTTGATAAATAATCTTTGTCACTGGTCAGTGGCTTTTAAAGCTCTTAACCCTCCCACTGTCCTAATGGGTGACCCTGCGAGGAAAGTTGACCATTGAGCAGGGTTGATGGTTAATCCCTTGAGGTCCATGTGGCAGGGGTGAGGTGGTGCTCACTCCTCACCCCTGCCACATGGACCCAAGGGATAAACCATCAACCCTGCTCAATGGTCAACTTTCCTCACAGGGTAACCCATAAGACAGTGGGAGGGTTGATGGTTTGGCTCCAGCATATTAGGCTGACATGCTGCTGTTGTTGGACGTTCCCTCTCGGGTACTTCTTCAGTGGCGGCTCCAAAACTCTGGAATGAGCTTCCATTACAAATTCAGCACTCCTCTTCTGTAGCAGTTTGTCCTAAATCTAAACTGAAGACCCATTTTTACGAAATGGTTTTGAAGTCTGTGGGGTGATAAATAGTGCTGCTATTTTATTTTCATTTTATGGCTTTACTTGCTTTTGTAGTTCTATTGTACATTCTGTGTGTGTTTGCCTGTGTATGTGAAGCACTTTGCTGGCATGTTTTTGTCTGTAAAGCACTAAATAAATAAAGTTTGAGTCGGGTCGAGTCATCGCTCCCTAAAACATGCCCAGTTGCTCCTTTTCTCTCCAAATAAAAGGTACCAGATCAATAAAGGAACCTGCTGCTGTTTCACCAGCACATTGCCCAGAAGACCTCCGTGTTATTTTAGGATTTTCACAAAAGAAAGTATTGTTTCTTGCTCTTCAGAGCAAAAGCATCAGAGGCAGGACCCAGAATTAGGTCTTCAAGGCTCAGACTGAAAAAACTGACAAAGCCGTCAAGCTCAACTTTGAGGCTGCTCAGTTTGAAATCAAGCGTTATAACTAAGACCAAACAAAATGATATCAAAATAGAATGCTATTTTTGTTCAAGCCTGTGCTGTGGAACTAAAATTAAAGAAAAGAGGATGCATGTGACTTCTCCGTGCCAGTCTTGGTGCTTTTGTTAAGATTTAACAAAAGCACAGATCTAAGTGTGAACTTCAGCCGGCCAGGCAGTCAATGGTGGGTGTGTTGGGTTGATTTAGTACAAGACAGACTTGCGGGAGAGCAGGGCCAATAAAAAGGTTGGTTCCGCGTAGCATGCCGGCACGGCGATGCTTAAATGTTGCGGCTTTCGTTCCGTCTTGGGTATTTGCGCAACAGAGGAAGTGTCATGATCATGTGGGGAGTTACTGCCAAGCCTGGTTGGCAACTACATTGAAAATGAAAAGAAAAACGGGATGTAAGTTTCACTTTTGTTAACAGAACCAGCTGAGATGACAAACTGGAGCAATGCAACGCTCCTGGAGATTCTCTCCATTAGAGCTGGAGCTCAGACCACCAGAGACTGCTGGGGGGCTGTGGAGGACGGAAACCTTTAGGAGCAGCCTGTGAAAAACACCTAATGAGCATGGCTTTGATCACAATAAAATACAAGTTATGTCCAAGATAAGTCCATGCACAGAGAACGCCCCATACCCCTTTTATATTCTTTAGTTAACAAAAGACACAATTGCGCCAAATTACTGCCACGAACTAACCACTTACAAATGACCTAAGACTCTCTGATGCCGCTTCAGTGTTGCAGCAAATGACCCTAATAGGACTAGAACATGCTGACCAAGTCCTCTGTACCACAACTCTGTAGGAACATGTTAGCATGCAGCTAAATGCTAAAAGGCCGTGCAATGTAAGCTCAAAAATGCTGGAGTCATAACCCAGGGTGGTGGCCAGCAGTGTCTTTCCTGCCCTTAAGTCTTGACAATCAGACCACAGTAGCACTTATGACGCGACAGTGCTCATACAAAAAAATAATGACCACACGTTGACCTAGCTTGTTTTACCACATATAAAGGGGACTCCCCTGCATTCATGATGTACCTGAAGACTAGTCAAGATTGCAAAGACCATCAATGTTCAGGCAAATTTACTTTTGTTGTAGTGGAGTTATTACACTATATTGATGTGATGAGATTATTGGGAAACAAACACCTTCAGATATACAGCACTGCACCGGTATTTGCTAATGTTCTAGCAAAATGAGCATCTGCTCAGCATTTAATCATTTTTCATGACTAATCCTGTTCCCTTCTAAAACATTCTAAGAAACAAACATCCTTGAGACAGAAAACAGGAAGGCAACATTTTACATTTAGTGAGAAACGGTAGCCATAAAGAGAAAAAAAGGCTGACTTTTTGCACATCAGTGAAGGATAATTACATAATTACTTGTTTTTAAACATAAGCCAGAGAAATTGGCTCTAGGTGGGGAAAAAACAAGACTAGATGGGAAAACTGGAAGGAAGTCAGAAGTGATGAAGCACAGACAAAAGGCTGTAGCAACAGAGACTGTGACATTTAGCGCTCATGCATTTAGCCGCCATGCTCTGGCAGGCTGCTTCGTCTTTGTTCAATCTCATTAGAGTCACATTGCTTTGATCAGAGCCGTGTCCAGGACTTTTAAAATGGGGTGGCCCATATGGGGCACTTGTTTATGCATGGGTGGCACCAATTGTTATGCTTATTTATGTATTTACATAAATCGTTTATTTATTTTTTTTTTACTTTCTTTTAAATTTTTGAGTTTCACATTGCACAATCACCATTTTTTCTCTTCATCTTCTAGTTTTGTGGTGGTTAGCAAGTCACTTCTTGTTGCATTACTGCCACCATCTGGAGTTGAGTGGGACTCTAAATACCATTTTTGTGAATATGAAAAATAAATAATAATACTACAGAAATGTTCTGTAGGCCTGGGCCAGAAAACAATGTGAAAGGAGCATGCAACCACACACCATTTTGGAGTTTATAACCCAAGCCTTTTGTCGACAATGTAAGGCCACCCCAGGTGCCACCCCACTAAGTTCCAGTTCAAATTGACCCAATCAAATTCTAAGGGTGGTGTGTGCTACCCCAGGCCACTCCCTGGACACGCCCCTGGCTTTGATTACTTTCATGTCGTACTGTTTCTCATTTCAGCACAGCAGGCTCATATACACCTAACACTATTAGCACTTTCCAGGTTACTGTACAAGCTAACTCCCACTCATTAGCTTTTTATGGCATGACTCATCTTAGCACACGGAGTCATTTACAAGTGTTTTAGGACCCTAGAGTAACATTTTTCATGTATGTTTTCTAAATATTCAAGGTGAAACAGATGTAGGAGACACAGATAAACAGACACCTGTCTTTGTGAATAACAGGTTTAGTAACCCTAATGCTAACACTGTTAGCTTCATGATTCTGTTGCTGATTTGACCACAAGTTTAATGATGTGTTTGTTGTTAAAATTGGATTTAATGGCTTAAAGTTTTCATTAATTTGTTGACATTTGTCTTCCAGACAACTGAGAAAACAATCGGAGGCTTTAAGTCAGCTGAAACTAAAGTTTGTGATGATTCATAAGTTGATTGTACTGATGAGAATCTACAATGGTAACAGTTTTTTTTCTTTTGTTATCAAATGCTACATTTTCATTCTGGTAATGCTGTGAAGACAATTGCAATGAATTTTTGGTGCAAATAACAAAATGCAGCTGAGAATTATCATTTTGCAAATGTTCTCATTCATTCCACAGTCATAGACTTACGGGCTGCTTAAAAAAGGACTTCCTGCACCACCTATTAAATAGCTTATATTTACGAGGAAATTTACTTAAGAACATGTGTATTTTTTTTCTTTTGATTATAAAATTAAGCAAAAATAATGACAAAAATTAGATCTGGAATGTACATAGCGATTCCTCCTGACTTTGTTCTTCATCCTTTAAGGCCTGCAGATCCCACTGAGAAAACATTTTCTATTTATCCTCTTTCTCGTGAGTTTGTGTGGTTCAGTCAGATGCTAAATGAGTGCTAACTGCTCCAACCTGCTGCTTGTCATGATCATGCTTGCACAAACATATAATTAGGTTTTTTGCACCATGAATTTGATGCTCAGAAGAAGCAGATAGCAGGAGTAATAAAGGCACAACTAGCACCTGTGCAGTGTTAGGGAATTCACCTGAAAGTTTGAGACTGACCAGCTAATATTCCGATTGCCGATCCCAGCAGAGCGTGGACAGCCAGCAGTGGGGAGTAAAGAACCACGGCCCCCAGGATGAGTAGTGATGGGCCAAGATCTCCACATGCATAAATCTGACCCACACCAAGAGGGATGCCTTGGATCACCTGGAAAAATGCAGGGAATAGAGAAACATTTAAATGCAATGATTAAATTCCAAAAGAATGGGGGGAAAGAAGCAGCTTTCATTTCTCATCCTACTTTAACTCAAATAGACAAAAGCCACCGTCTTTCTGACAGTCAGTCATGGGAGCGTTTCCATGGTGACATGATGGGTGCACCTGCTTGATGCTGGCATTTACAAGTCATAGCTGCTTTTTAATTACACTGCCGCCTGACTACTCTTTACACCCCAGTGTGCACGTGCTTGTGCACGTCTGTGAGAGATTGAATATGACGTTCAGAACAGCTCGAGCTCCATCCAGAGCCGAGAGAATGAAGCCGAGGACATTAAATATAAATAGGGCACACGTCACCCCTGTTTCAGGAGAAAACCAGAGGAGTGATGGAAGGGAGAAGCATAGATGTGGGGGAAAGAGGGTGAATACGTTTTCTGATCCTCTTATTAACAAAAAAAAAGGGTATTAAAGAGATGGAAGTGGCATCTTTTAAAAACTAAATATGAGACAGAATTGACCAATAGTCATGAACAATGGAGCAACTTACAGAAAGTGATTTAGAGCGAGGAACAGTGTGTGCCACAGGGAAAGACACTTGTTAGTGAGATCACACGTAAATCCTGACTCCGTATTCAGGACACCTAATGGCCCTCAGAGGGTTCGTATGTGTAGCTCTTCTAACGTCATGATCAATTAATCCATTCATAGACCTGTCTTTAAAGATTAATTTATCCATCATTTCACTCATTCTTTTGAGAATTTTAAGGCCTTTATGAATTATGATTCATGATTAATGTCTTCTCTGTAATACATTAACAACAGGGGTATCTTTAGACAGACGCTAGACTGACCAGAAATACATAATGTTACCTATACATTAGTGATTTGTCACCTGGGTAAAAACAAAGCTAATACAAAAAGAAAATTGATTATTGATGTAATAAAACAGAAAAATGTCCACAGATGTTCATTTACATTTACACTTTTTTTTAACATTAAATTTTAAAATTGTAAGAACAAATCAAAAATTTTGCGGAGTCCCAGTGTTACGGATCCTGGGCTCCCGCACCTTGAATGGCCCAGTCCTGCTCCCTCCCTGCTGTTCAGGACCTTGGACAGGTCCGTTGTCAGGCTGGCCTCCACCTCTGCCCGCCTTCACTGTCCCGGCTGCATACCATCAACTAAGGAGGACAGATGGTTTAAAAGACTGCAGCTTCAGTTTCTCAGAGGGAGATTCACAGCTTAACACCCTGTCTTTCTCTCCTCGGTTTTGATCTTAGTGACAAACGACTTAGATTTGGTGAAATTCGATAAAGAACTTGAATGAGTGTGATAATTAAGATAGATTGTTCCTTTTGTGTCACCATCGAGTAATTATTAGTCGTTTTCGTTTAGTGATCCCGTTTTGTCTGCCCTAGCGCTTGCATTTAAGTTTGTTTTCCACTTTAGAGCTCGCTTTAAGTTTTGTTTGTAAGAATATTTAGAATAGAGATAGCCGTCGAGATTTGTTTTAGTTAGTTAGTTCTGGCATTTTTCTTTTGTTTGTTAGTACCAATATTCTCGTGTTTTCTTCCCTGAGACCATTTGTCTCAGGTGTTTTGAGTTTTTCTCCGTCGCCTTCGTTAGTTATATCCGTTTTGTATTTTCCAGTCAAGGACTGAGTGATTGTGTTTGCCTTTTATTAATAAAATACTTTTTATTTACACTCCCCTCTTTTTCCGCACCAGTTTTTATGTTACCCCTCTACCACAACGCCTAAACAGCTTCAGGGTTTGTAACACCCAGACTGCACAGGAAGTGCTACAGTTAGCTACTGGTAACCTTTCGTTTTTGAAAATAACATAAAGCCAAGGGATTGGTGACAAAAAGGTAATTTGTTTGCACAAACCAACATGAACTCATTAAGTCCATCCTCGCCTTCTCAATAACCGTGTGGTATGGTGGAGCCACCACCAAGGACAAGAAGAAGCTGCAACATGTTGTGCGCTCTGCTGAGAAGGTCATTGGCTGCAAACTTCCCTCCATACAGGACCTGAACACCTCCAGGACATTGAGGATTACAGCTGACCTGTCTCACCCTGAACACAGTCTTTCTGTTTCACTCCCATCTGGCAGGAGGCTCAGATTCATTCAAACCAGAACCTCTCACCATATGAACAGTTTCTTCTCCTCTGCGGTCAGACTCATGAATGACAATCCTAGGACTACCCACCCCAGTCGCTTGGTCCCAGTCACATGACCCTGTGTTGTGTAAATTGCACTTGAACTGATCCTCTCTGATCAGCACCTACACTGCCTTCTATATAGTAGCTGTTCCTCTATTGCCACTTATTATTTATCATGATTATATTCTTAATTCCTATATTTGTGATCGCGCAGCATTGTTCTCCATCTCTGGAATATCTTTTCACAAACTTTAAACCATTTTACTCTCTGCGGGAGTTCGCCTCATTCATTCTAGGCACTGTTTACATCCCACCTGACGCGGACGTGCACGAGGCTCAGCGTGCGCTCGCGGAAGAGATACTGTGCATGGAGCGGACGTACGCGGACTCCCTCATCATTGTACTTGGAGACTTTAACATACAGGAGTTAAGTGCTCGCCCCGTAATCGGAAGGTTGCAGGTTCGAGCCCCGCTCAGTCTGTCGCTGTCGTTGTGTCCTTGGGCAAGACACTTAACCCACGCTGCCTGCTGGTGGTGGTCGGAGGGACCGGTGGCGCCAGTGCTCGGCAGCCTCGCCTCTGTCAGTGTGCCCCAGGGCAGCTGTGGCTACATCGTAGCTCATCCCCACCAGTGTGTGAATGTGTGTGTGAATGGGTGAATGACTGATTTTGTTGTAAAGCGCCTTGGGGGGTTTCAAGAACTCTAGAAGGCGCTATATCAAATACAGGCCATTTACCATTCAAAGCAAATCTGAGCCAGGAGCTTCCCAAATATAAACAGTATATCAAATGTCCAACCAGAGAGGAGAAAACCCTGGACCACTGTTACAATTGTTGGTCCTAAAAAACGACCAAGACAGGTTCGGAGCGATTGGAGGAAAAGATGTTTGCTTCTGAGTTGATGTTGGAGTCAAAAAACCAGTCAAGACAAGATTCACCGCTGCTGAGGGAGAACACGACAGCTCTCATGCAAGGTCAACCGACTTGCTTCAGCTGCTGTCTGGGGTGTTCTAATTCTCGGCTTTATCACGGCTGTATTTATTCGTTCAAGCAGGGATGGGTCACAAGTCGGTACATTTTCGATTTGAGCAATCTTATTTGAATATGTGCTTTTCTATCAGATTTGAACAAGAAGCGGCTACTGGTTCGGCACAAAACAGGAACTTTGCGCAGGAAAACATTGCCCAAAGGGAGGGGTGAGTATCAGCAACGGGAACTTCAGGTTTCATCAGGTCATGGCAAAACTTCAGGTCAGGACAGGTCATTGTAGACATTTGTATTACTGTTAACACAGCACAGTAACAGGAGCCTATCATGCAGTGGCGCGCGCTGCGCTTGGACTCTCTGACCACGTGACCATCCATCTGATCCCAGCTTGCAAACAAAGGCTAAAACTCTCCAAGCCTGTTGTGAAGTCAACAAGACAGTGGAACACAGATGCCGCAGATGAGCTTTGCGCAGACAGTTTAGATGAGTTCACAGATACCGTCACCTCCTACATCCACTTCTGTCAGGACAGCATTGTACCATCACACATCAGGGTGAGTTATAACAATGACAAAGCCTGGTTTACCCCTAAACTCAAACAGCTGTGGTTAGAAAAGAGAGATGCATTTAAAAGGGGGGACAAGGACTCCTACAGAGACACTAAATACAGGTTCAGCAAAGAATTGGTCAAAGCAAAACACCAGCATCATGACAAAATGCAGCAGCAAATCTCTGAAAACGACCCAACCTCTGTGTGGAAAAGTTTCAGGAACATCACCAACTACAAACCCAGAACCCCCGCCTCCACTGATAATCTGCTCTTGGCAAACAACCTAAATAATTTCTATTGTCGGTTTGATGAGCCATCAGGCAGGCCTCACTCCTCGTCCAGCCCCAACAATAGAGACATTGGTCAGCCACTCCCCACTACAGAGCCATCACCATCACTGTGGAATTTACCTTCATCACCCTCCCCCTCACTCCCCACTCATGAGGTGTTCACATCACACACCTCCACCACAAACCTACACATTCATGAAGCAGATGTAAAGAAGCAGTTCAGGTCTCTCAACACACTAAAAGCCCCGGGCCCTGATGGCGTGGCTCCTGCCACTCTAAAGCACTGTGCTGAAGAGCTGGCCCCAGTGTTTACGAGCATCTTCAACTCCTCACTGGAGGAATCTCATGTGCCTGCCTGCTTCAAGATCTCCACCATAGTCCCTGTCCCCAAGAAACCAAGAATCACTGGACTAAATGACTACAGACCTGTGGCTCTGACATCTGTGGTCATGAAGTCATTTGAGCACCTAGTTCTCCCTCACCTCAAGACCTTCACAGCCCCCCCCTCCTGGACCCCCTGCAGTTTGTCTACAGAGAAAACAGGTCGGTAGATGATGCAATCAACATGGCTCTACAATTCATCCTGCAGCATCTGGACTCCCCAGGTACCTATGCCAGGTTATTGTTTGTGGACTTCAGCTCTGCATTCAACACAATCCTGCCAGACCTCCTCCAAGACAAAATGTCCCAGATGAACGTGCCTGACCCCATCTGCAGGTGAATCACTGACTTCCTGAGAGACAGGAAACAACAAGTCAGGCTGGGGAAGAATGTCTTGGACCAATGGACCATCAGCACCGGCTCACCACAGGGCTGTGTTCTTTCCCCTCTGCTCTTCTCCCTGTACACCAACAGCTGCACCTCCAAGCATAAGTCTGTCAAACTAATTAAGTTTGCTGATGACACCACCATCATCGGACTCATCTCTAATGGGGATGAGTCCGCTTACAGAATGGAGGCTGAACGGCTGGTGTCCTGGTGCAGCCACAACAACCTG